AACTGGTCGTAAACTTCTTCACTCCTATCGATCCGACAGATCTCAAGCGTCTGTCACTTCCGGCCTCTTATATATCAATGAGCGCCCGATCTGTCGATCAGAAGACACATGAAGTTCAGGCATATCTGCACATCACTGGAGAGTGTGTTTCAAACAATGGCAACCAAGTGATTGAATGGGATGTAAGCCAAGTGAAGGGCAAAACAAATCTAATTAACGGCAACTTTAAACTCAAAAAGCAGAAACAGTTTCAGGAAAATAAAGGTTTTATTAAATTATTTACATTAAATTTTAAACATTATCTTAAACATTGACTGCAATTACTATTTATCAGATTTCCCCGAATGGGGAACCATTAAATTCTTCACCGACTCGAACACCACTTATGAGGTATTTATATATATTAGACAATAAATATTAGTATATTATCGTAAATTTTATTTTATTTTGTAGGCCAATGGTTGGGGTGCAATGCGCACAAAGTTTGTAAAAACGGGTCGACTCGACAATACTGTGGACAGGAATTACAGCAAAGTGTCGGACAATTGGCCGGCCATTGGGTTCGCGCGGACACTGACCGCCGGCGCCACTCATACGGCGGCAAACACTGTGTATTACGGCGTCGCTCACGTCAGACGACCGGCCATTGAGTACACGGACTCACATCTGAACCAATTATGGGAAAGTTATTTCAATGGAGACGACAAACAGATGATTGACTTCTTCTATGAGGACAGAGAAGACGCCCTCCGGAGGGCCACAGCTTTGGACAAACGTATTGTGACCGACGCTCAGGCGGTCGGCGGCGAGAGTTATGTGAAGGTTGTGTCCGCAGCCCTCAGACAGGTATGTATTGGTGAAGAGTTATTGCATTATTAATATTAGGAATTCATAATTATATTGTTTAGGCTTATGGAGGGTTGGAAACGGTTGGCACAGTTGACAAGCCATGGATAATGTTGAAGGAGATACCTAGTCGTACGTGTCAGACAGTGGATGTGCTTTACGCCCACTTTCCCGTCCACTTATATCTGAATCCAACGCTTTTGCAATACCTTTTGGGGCCATTGCTTGACTATCAAGAGAGGGGTTTATTCCCGAAGAAGTATAGTTTGCATAATTTGGGTAAACATTACCCCCAATGCGGGGGACAAGAGGGACACGATTGGGATATGGAGGTGGAGGAAAGCGCCGGTATGTTGATCATGATGTCAGCCTATGTCAGGGCAACCAATGATACAAAGTTTGCCAAAAAGCACTACAAAATTGCCAATCAATGGACACAGTATTTGGTCGATCACGGGTTGATCACAGGTATAGCTGTTTAAAGTAATATTGGAATACTATATTAAATAATATATTGACAATTAACCTATACTTAGGAGAGGCCAGGAATGCGGACGTCTTTTTAGGTAATGTTAAAAACTCAACAAACCTTTCGCTTAAAGCCATTGTAGGTATCGGAGCGATGGCACAGTTGGCTGAAGTGACCGGCAATGAGGCGGACAAACAACAGTACAGACAGACGGCCGAAAAATACATCACCGAATGGATGCGTTTAGCTGAAGACGCATCCAATAAATACCTGAAATTGAATTACAATACGGACAACACGTGGTCTATGATGTATAACCTATTCGCCGACGTACTGTTGGACACCAAACTAGTGCCCGATTGGGTTTGTCTAAAATTGTTATCATGTATACTTATATAGCCATCTATGACATTGATATTGCTTATAGATATACACACAACAGGACGAGTGGTACCAACAGGTGATGAATTACTACGGCCTGCCATTAAGGGGCGATACGGCAGACACGAGGTTTGATTGGTCTATGTTTACGGCGGCCGCCGCTGGAAATACACGACTTCGGCGAACACTGTTTGATCGGACGGCCAAATGGTTGCGGGAAACGCCGTCGCGTCAGCCCTTTACCGACATCGCGAACACACTTAACGGTGGTTCGCATTTTCACAACAGCCAAGTGATTGGCGGTGTATTCGCCCCTTTAATTGGGCGCCACATATAACTAATTTTTTTACCACAATGAACTATGTGGTTTATTGTAAAACTAATTTATAGTTTTATCGTGTTAATAATATCCAACAAATTGCGACCTTATTATAATTATTATTATAGTTTTAGAAAATAATATTTAATAAAAATATTTGTCAAATTTTGTTTAATAGTTATTCATTTCAGCAATTTTCAAACAGTAAACTGATAATTATTATAATTTTAATTCTCGCCCACTCGTGATAGTTCATATAGATAGGCGGCAAACACCTTGGTGCCTTCAATATAATTCCATTTATTGATCTTCTCGTTTTGGGAGTGGGGGCCGTCATCGCTGGCACCCATGTTCAGTAACAGCACACTTTTCCCTACATTCAAAATTAACCAGAATTTTTAATTAAACCAAGTTATTATTAAAAACAAAATACGCAATATAAATAAACAGCTCAGTACAGAGTGTTTACATTATAAGGCACCGACCGGTTGCAGATTGAAACGTCAATGTAATGGGTATTGAACCGCCATCTCTGGCCAGATCCGGATCCACGCCAAACACTAAGGTAAAATTATTTATATTAAACATATTAATTATCTATACAAACATCACCATGTTTGTACCGCAGTTTAATTCACCTGTTTTTATTGCCACTCGACCGGCGCTAAAATTGTGATCATTTGGATCAGCTAACCAGGGTTTAGCGCCGGTGACCATGGTGATTTTCAACTTATTAGGACTGTCCAACTTATTAAACTCTTGGTTCAAATAATCAGTCACTAGTCTCTCAATGGTATTCGGGTCCTGATTGGGGACCAGACGCAGGGAAAACTTGCCGACCACTCGACCCGGTATTACAGTTTTAGCGCCGGGGGTCGAGTGCGCGCCTTCGATGCCTGTAATTAATGTATTAAAAACTAATCAGACATTGAAATATACTCTTGTAAGTAAACATGCCTAAATGAAATAGATATAGCTAAATAAGACACTCTACAACACCTGGCTAACTCACACAATATATCAGGGAAGGGGATTAAGGTAGAAGTGTTCGTAATTAAATTATATGTAATATTAATAAAAAGAGACATTTGTTATATACCATGTAAGGATAGACAGGGGTATCGCCATATATGGGTCAATGTATCGACTTTATCATCATGTATGAGCCGTCGGGCGCCCACTTCGATGTCTCGGAACTCATCGCTATTGAAATCAATGGTGCGATAAAGTGCCTCCTCATCAGGAGTTAGGGGCAACACGTCGTCCATAACTCCGGGCACAAGTATGCGACCCCTGGTGTCCACCAGACGGTTCATAAGGGCCACCAAATCGGTCATAGCCTCGTGAACGCCACCCCCATAGGCACCGGAGTGCAGGTCTTTGGCCGCGCCCTCGATGTCAACGTAAAAGTATGCGACGCCTCGGAGTCCGTACGTTAGCGTGGGTTTTGTGGCGCCCAACCAATTGCTATCACTAATACAAATGTAGTCCACGTCCGCGAGTAGACCATCGGCACCCTTGGCCTCCGCTATCACCACATCGTCCAGACCTACGCTGTCTGACTCTTCCATCCCCTCAAATATAAACTAATAGTTGGATTAAATATAAATAAAATATTATTTAATTAGATGTATACTTTTAGCTCAAATATCATAAATGTAAAAATAATTGTATTTTTTAATTATCAAAAAATATTTAACACAACCTTAAAATTGACGGGCAATTCAACGCCGGTATTATTGTAAGCCTGTATGGCGTGCAGCCAGCCGAGCACTGGGCCCTTGTCATCGGTGGCGCCCCTGCCATACAGTTTGCCCTCCTTTTCGGTCAGAGTGAAGGGGTCGGTGTGCCAGCCGTCAGACATATGGGCCGGTTGTACATCCAGGTGTCCGTAAACGCATACTGTCTTCTTATGTGGGTCTGTGCGACCCAATTGGCCCAATAGTACCGGTGGTAGTGGTATACGAGTGCCGTCCGGTAGGGTTTGCAGTCCTGGGTCTACCAGCCGTGTTGTGCAGCCCTCGGCGTCCAATTGCTGTGTGTTTTAATGCAATGAATTATTGTGTTTTTATTTTAGTCGTGTTTATGTGAAAGTTGTATACTTTTTGCATCCAATGAACAGCCCGTATGGTCTCATCCCTGGCCTCGGGTTCGCCCGAAACACTCTTAATGGCCACCAATTCGGCCAAATTGGCCACAAAATCATCCGAATGTGAGTCAATATAACTGTTTTAATATTGAATAAAACAATAGTATCAACAAACAAATAAGACATATTATTAAAAACATAAATATTAAAATTTATTGTAATGATAAGTAAAGTCTAACAACTTAGAATTCTTGGCTTATCAACTTGCTATTTGTTTCAATAAATTACAATTAATTAATAACATCTACTAACATATTTCATAGTTATAGTTACAATTACAGTATAAAGAAATAAGTTAAGGTAAGTTGAGATTTTTAGTTTATTAAGTTTATTTTATTATTTAGTTTATTATTATTATTTATTATTTTATTAATCAAATATTTTAAACGTATTTAAATACTAACTTGAACAATTGCTTTAGCGGTTGTGATGCATCATTGTCTGACATTTTAATTATAATAATTTAATTCAATATTACGGGTAACTTATGTTTAATTAGTTTTATAACATACAGTATATTATAAGTTATAATTTATAACAATAATCTCTTATAATTATGCGATAATAAAACACATTTTAATTAAAACGTTGAATCAAAACATAATTTATATAAAATATAAGTTAATTATGACTTTTAATGTGCTTTTATGGACACAAATTGTTTGGCATATGGTCATTATCACACCATAATCATTTTCAACCAGTTCATGAAATAAGCATTATAAATATATTGTAAAGAATTATTGCTAATGTACCATTTGAATATAAAATAATCTTTTAATACGATACAGGGTAGATTAAAGCAATAATTGATTGTAATAAATTACATAAAAAAGTATTACAGTTAGGTTTAACAAAAAAACATAATTATTGAAATATATTCATTATAAGCATATAATTAATGCCAATAATGTATAAATAAAGATATAATTTATAGCTATTAATGGGGAATAGATTATAGCAATAATAGCCGATCAGAGGTCCCGACAGTCTCTCTACAAAAGTCAATATTTTTAACCGATGTTTAAGTGAAATGTTTTTATTGTTAACCAAATATGATAGCAATTTTGCCACTGATTTGTGAGCACTTCTCGGAATGCAACAATGTACTTTTATTTTATAATCTTATAATATTCATGCACTCAATCTATTAGCTTTGGCAATAACAAATCCCATATTAAATACAATAAATATGGTAAGCGTGATTCGGGCCAATAATGTTGTATCGGGTTTATGAAAAGCTAAAATACATAATTCACCAAATAATGTTGCAAAATAATAGCCAATTCTTAATTTAATCAAATGTTAAATAAATATTTTGATAACATTTACAGAAAAAACATTTTAACCTGTAAATGTTTTGTCGCAAACCTATGGTCAGCTCTAATCCTCAATAAATTGAAATGTTTTTAACAAAATTAACAAAAATAATAATTAGAAGTACGAATTATATGAGTTAATAATTAAATAATTTATTTGAATAATAATACGTATACTGTATAAATCAATAATCAATATTACAATTTATATTTAGAAGCTATCAAAACAAAATTTCAATGTAATTTTTTAAAATACTTTTAATTGATTGACTTTTTTTGTCACTAATAATTTTAAACAAACAAACAAATGAATCAACATTGCATACTTATAAATGATATACAAATACATATAAACTGCACTTTAAAAATCTAAATTATTTGAACGGTATGTCCACTCGAGCAGCACTTCCCTCATCAGCACCGGTCGGTTCATAATCTGTGGGCAATAAATCGGTAAAGCAATCGCTTTCATAACCTAAGAGCGGATCCAACGCTAAACCGCCGTAATTGCGGGCAAAACAGTCAAAATTCATTGACAGCCGGCGCTGTCCAACACCGGCAGCCGACGATTGTCCGCATCGGTGACCGGCACTCGTTATCACCGATTCTATCACTGAATAATCGGCGTTTACGGCCGACACGGATGCCGTCAACTCTAGTCCAGTGTTTTGAGGGACGGCCGCACCGGACGACTGGCCACCACTGGCCGACAAACTCTCGGCCGATAGAAATATAGGCGACGATTGAGCCGAGAAGTCGGTAGAGTTGATCACGTGATCACACGACTCGTAAGCGCTGGGATGAGGGCTATGTTTGCTTGTGGTGAGTGCTCGACATGAAAATGGTTGCCCAAATGGCCAATAGTTACTGCACGGCCTGTACCGGGCGTATGATTGAATTGGTTTAGACATTATTACATTGATTTAGTGATCGTACAATATTATGGTGAAATTAATACAATAATAAAAGTGTGTTTTGTTTTGTAAAGTTGTAAAATAAACTTTACATTAATGTTGTAGTTTATAAACTGTGTATTAACTTATTTTTTATGCTAGCAATGAATATAATATATTAATTATTTATATATAAATTATTATATTATAATAACTCGTGTTGAAAACTCATAGATTTTGCATCAACCTTAATGGAAGTGATTAGTTTGAATCAATTATCATCGTGGAAAATTTTAAAATATTGCTAATATAAGCATATAATTGGTGGCAGCAATGAATGCAAACTCATAAAGAGTTTTGTTAATAATTACCTTAAAATATACTCATTATAAGCGTATAATTAGAAACAATGATTAATATAAACTCAAGGATTTCATAGCTATTAATGGGAAATAAATTATAGCAATAATAGCCGATCAGAAGTCCCGACAGTCTCTCTACAAAAGCCATAAGTTTTAAACGATGTTTAAGAGAAATATTTTTATTCTTAACTAAATATGACATTAATTTTGCATATGATTTGTGAGCACTTCTCGGAATACAAACCATTATACAGTGCAACTTCTCCATAAGGAACGGCCAGTTGCACGGCAAAAATGTTCCCTATATAGAGGGTTCCTCCAAGGGAGGTTTTGTTATAGGTATAGAAACTCCAAAATATATTTCAAATCCGTTCCTCAAAAGGATGTGTTCCCCTAAGAAAAGTTTCCCCAAGAGAGGTTGCACTGTATTTGTA